AAGAGAGAGAGTTCAAGCCATAAACTTCTGTATATTAAAGTCCCTATATATTAAAGAAGTAAAAATATGAAAACTGTTTATTCGTATTGTTTTAAATTTTTTATTTTTATACTAAACGAAATAAGTTTGTTCGTGTTGCTTGCAATTTTTACATTCAACATTTTCATTTTCTCTCTCTTAAACACTCGAATATATTTATCTCATTTTAAGTATAGAAATTTACTCCAAATAAGGCTATAGCACAGACTTTTGACGCATAAAGCACAGTGCATAAGCGAATTAATTAAGCAGAATCTTTCCTTTCCTCCTATTCCATGGAAAAGAAAAATTTCAATTGGTTGATTCTCTATGCACTATGCATTATGTAAGAATCTGTGTTGGTCATTAAAATTATTATAGAAATCAGGCAAATTCAAACAGAGGGTCAATCATGGTGGAAGTATATTTGTATCATGGTAACTGTTAATGAAAACTATCTAAACTATAGTTTCTATATTCATTACAAGTAATCGTATTTAATTTGTTACAATATTAAATGCGTTTGGCATTGCAAATCGGAGGCATCCGTTTGCTCTTTTACTTCGAAAATCATTCGGCAATTCGTATCTTTCTGCTACATGTCATCTCATTTTATTAAATATTAAATGCGTTCGGTATTAATATTTCTAGGACCAATCGAGATAAGCCATGCTCGATTCACTCCGGATTCAAAACCGAGCTCGCAGAGCTAATGCAGATTTTCGCGCCTAAATTAAATTCATAATCTGTACATTTATGATAATGTAACCAACTGATATTCGTTAACACATACATTCATCTCTTTTAATACTTCTATTTTACAAATAGTGTATTTGAACTGTTATAATGTTTGAATCTACAAACGCTGAAAAAAATGCTATCAAATAGAAATTGATAGAGTACATTATTTACAATATATATATATATACTTAACGAAGAAAATGAGTTTTTAATTCTTTTCCTCTTTATGAATTTGAGATTACGTATTTGAAAACGAAGAATTTGCTAGTAAATTTTTAGATCAAAGTTTATGTTGTACATATAGAATGAAATAAAATCAAACTGTATTAATATATTAAAGACTTTAACGAATATAA